TTGTTGTTAGGTCGAACGGCCAATTTATACCGTGGAACACACGGAACGGCTGAAATCCTTAAATTTTAATGTAGGTGGAATAGGAAATGGTTTATGATGGAAAAGATAGTGGGGTTGCTAATGTGGTACAAAGCGTATGACATGTAACTTCGGTGGGGAGGAAAGCAGGTGATAAAGATTTGATTTTTGACTTTTGACATTTAAACTCGAAATATTTGGCGTTTTTTTAAGTACTTGTTACTAACATTTGACATGAGATTGCTGTACAGGATTGACTTAGTTTATAACAGCTGATCGTTAAGACTTTAAATCTGTAAACGGAGTTTAAGTATTTTCATACGATCATTTTTTGTTGCCCCAGTATAAAATTTCGCCGAGCAATCCATTTCTTGTAAGTGTGAAATTGGTTCTCCTGTGAAATTGGTTCCGGAATTTTTTCCGTGTTACTAATATGATGCAGTTCCCAGTCGCATGTAATTACATTCTGGATAAAGAAGCAACCGCTGAGGTAGTTTTGTCAGAGAATTTTAGGAGCTGAAAACTTTTAGATGGACGAAAACAGTAGCTGCACAATAGCAACAAACAAAAACAACCAGGTGGTGAACATCATATCCAAGCCATTAATCCGTTCAAGTGGTCGAAAGCTAGAAGGAAAACCAACACCACCACCAGCAACAGCAGCAGTGGTAGCATCACAGCGACCAGCAGCGGCAGCAGCAGCAGTACCATCACCATCAGCAGCGGCTGCAGCAGCAGCACCGCCACGAGCAGCAACAGCAGCAGTGGCAGCAGCAGCAGCGCCACCACGAGCAGCAGCAGCAGCAGTGGCAGCAACACCATCGTCACAACAGGCAGCAGCATCATCATCGGGTTAGTCAGAGTCAGCTTTTCATGAGAAATGCTAAATGTTGGGGTGAATGAAATTTAGGGACATGAAATGGCCCGAATGAAAAATAGACGGTCCAAGTGAGACGGCCGAACTGGATTAAATTGATGAAAATTTTGCCGGCTGCTTGGATTTTTTTTGGATTTTCGCTTGGATTTTTTCTGAATTTTGCCAGCATTACTTTGGGTGAGAAACAATCGGCTCCTTGTAGCAATGCTTCCTTGTAAGAAATTGTATTTTTTTTTTTTTTTTTTTTTGAA